TGCGTTTTTGCTGGCTGTAGCAGCGCTATAGCGCTGCACAGCAAAAACGCATAAAAATGCATATTGGCAAGAGGTTGCCTATGTGTTTGTTGCGTTTGTTTGTGTCCGTGTGTTTGCATTTTGTTACCCACTTTCAACTCGACAAACGAAGAACCTTAAAAGCTGAAACTTCTGGTGTACGTTTCCAGTGTATGCAACCCTCCCGCTTTTAAACTCTCATTAAAGTGCTCCTGGGTCTCAGATACTGATATCGAAAGGGAAATATGCAACTTTTTTAGCGGGAAAATGACCTCGAGGATTAGACAAAATGAGAAGCTATGATTTTGCACGGATTTTTTATGTCCTTGTGTATGCTGAAAAATTTAAATTTGTCTATCATACCTGTGTAACACATACTGATATACGGTGTCAAAATCGAAATGTGGTTGGCCAAATGCCAACTCAGCAGCCAAAATGCTTAGAGTCTTTTAGTTTTGCGAAAATATTTTTCCTGTGCGTGAATGAGCAGGCGCAAAATAAGCTCTGGCGTATGCTTATTTTGCGTGTTCAGTCATTTCGAAGGCATTTATAACGAAAATCGGCTTCGCTAAACAGTTAAGCTGGGGAATTGAAATTGTATTAGGCCATTTTATGCATGTGTACAATTTAAATTTTTCGATTTTAACTTTGAAGCACCTCTAGGCCTCGCGCATGCAAGCTAATATTTAAATTTGGGGTATTGCCGGTACACAATTAACTCGATAACTAGACTGAGCAACACGCATTATTTCTGAATATATTTGCTGCTCGTGCGGAGGCTACCAAGCATAAAATGGGCTTTTGCTTGTGCATGCGCTCCACCTACAAACATACCGAGTGAGCAAACTATACGCTGCCGTTAACCGATCTCTCGGCAGTCAGGAAGTCAAAAAAACTGGAATTTTATTAAAATACTGTCTGATTTTATGGGGAGCGAAAAACGTAGTAGCAGCTTTCTTGCATGCTAACATCTTGCATAGAGATACAGCAAACTTCAGGACACAAAACGCACAATCGCGCTAGAAATCCCAGTGCATGTTGCTGCCCAGATTTGAATACTACTTTTTTAGCGCCGTACACGATCATTACATTCCCGTTCATCTTTGCATGTATGTTTGGTGACCTCGGACACGGAATCATCATGCTGTTGGCTGGTTTGTGGATGGTGCTTCGTGAGGAGAATCTTGCCGCTCGAAATATCAAAGATGAGGCAAGTTCTGAATCAAAGGTTAAAAAGGGGGAAACATTTTTTGGAAGAAAATTCATTAATTTTTCCAGATTTTCGTGGTGCTGCTGATTTGTGTTCCAGTGGTGTAGTATCGTTACTAAGAGTTTTTTTTTCTATAGATTTTGAAAAAGTGGAGTAACGCTACTGACAAATATTGTTGACTGGAGGAGATTTCTTTACTGGTTTTGAACCACTCGTCCTGTCAATCAGCACTGAAATAAGAAATATAAGAAATTGAATTAAATTTGTATGCAAGTTGCAGGAATTATAGCTAATTTGTTCAAAAATAAAAATTTGTTTGAGTAGTGCAGTGAATCCACGTTTTGCTGTTCCATTCTACGTGACAGTGCCCGTCTCCTACATCATGTTACCAGATGAATGGCAACTACTGAATGAGACTATGTTTGAGCAAGGAATGGGTTGCTGTAGTCGGAAATTGATCCCAATTTATTTAAATGTCTTTTTGTTAGATCTGACTGCGTTACCGGCAAAGAATTTTGTTTCCAGCTGCAATCCATGTAGGGATTTTCAAGATTTTAGCAAAACATTGGGATTTCATGCTGGATAATTTTGCATTACTAAAAAAACGTCTTTTGCAGATTTTCAATATGTTTTTCGGAGGTCGCTATATCATCCTACTTATGGGCATATTTTCGGTTCATGCAGGCATACTGTATAATGACATATTTGCAAAATCATTCAATCTGTTTGGTTCCAAATGGCGCAATCCATTCTCGTGCGTTTTTCGTGCTTTTACTGGGATTAGCGAAGGGTTCGGGACAGTTTTTGAGCATCACAAACTCCTGCAGCATTTTGACTGCAGTTGATTAGCGATAAAGGAATACTCAGGGAAGCAAGGCAGCCGCGTCAGCTCTGGAACAATAGACAGTATGAAACTATCAAACCTATCATTAGGCAGCTTGTACTGATTGTCATTTTAGTGAATTGGAGCTGGACTCCTGGTACAATCAGTCAGTGATTTCGGGAAAGGAGGTGATGATCGATCTGCCGCCACTTCCGTCATATATGCATCATAGCGGCCCATATTGGTTTGGCGTTGATCCTGTATGGAATCTGGCTGAAAATCGACTAAATTTTTCAAACTCATTGAAAATGAAACTATCTGTAATTCTTGGCATCACCCAAATGACATTCGGAGTGTTCCTTTCGCTTCTAAATTATTTGTAAGTTGCCCCTAAATGTTTCTGATCCGAATAATCTGCAAATATAAGTAGAAATTTCGAAAGTATTTAAACGGCCAATCTGTCAAGCAGTCACTTAAATTTTTCCGTCGTAATTCCAGATGCAATAGTTGATTTAAGACAAACTTGAACTATGACACTAGCGCGTGTTCAAAACTGGTACACTTCTGATAGGAATCACATTAAACTTTCTTAGTTATCCCGTACTCCCATGCAAATCGCGAAACTAAAACATCCACTTCTTGTGAAAAGGTTTTAAGCAATTACCGACATAAAAATTAATTCATCCTGGCCTTCAGCGCAGTTAGAGCTCATTTTAAACAAACTTGGTGCTCCTCGTCGAATCCTGCAATTAATGATTGACGGCGTGCACCAGGCCCGTGCGATTATGCGTTTTTGCAGTATTTCTTGTTGTAGTAAGATCACTTGGAATCCCAGTAGCTAGAATTTGTGAAACATTGGTCCTGGAAGTTAATTGTACAATTACAGAATACTTGGGCAGGGAGCATTCCGATAAAATTCCAGCTTTCTAGATTTTCCGTCTCTGAGTCAGCAATTTTCCCGCCAAAAAAATCAAGGTACCGTACGTGAGAGCCACAAACACCTAAGGCTGAATTTAGAAACTTTGATTGTACGTGGGCTGGGATCTCTTCAAAATTTCAGCCTCCCAGCCCATCTGGTCCCCGCGCTAGCGAATTTTGCTGCCAAAAATTTTCACGGGGCCGTACGTGCGAACCATGCATACCTGGAGGATGAATTTAAATTCTTTAAGTTGTACATGGTCTGGGGACATTCCCTTAAAATTTCAACCTTCCAACTTTCCTGGCTTCCAAGCTAGTGACTTTCTCGCCAAAAATTTTCACGGGACTATACGTGAGAACCACGCACGCTGGACGGCTGAATTCAAAATCTTTAAGTTGTACGTAGGCTGGGAACATCTGCTTAAAATTTCGACCTCTCAACTTTTCTGGTTCCCGGCTTAGTGATTTTCCCGCCAAAAAACTCCCACGTGCCTGTACGCGGAGTCCAGACCTGCATGAAGATTAGTACCGCGGTCCTGGGGCGGCACTGGGCGGGTTAACCTATTGGCAAGATTTTAGCGCCGGAGCTTGCTCGGTTACCGAGTTGAAACACTCGGAAACGCATGCACACACACACACACACACACAC